AAACTCACTTTATATGCGATTTTTGATATGTCGAACACGATTTAAGAGGATGAAAAATAGACGTTGGGTAATTGACGACTTACTCAATACGCTCACAAAATTTCATGAGAATCGGTATAGCCGTTTCGGAGGAGTAAGGTCACAAAAACTGTGACACGAGAATTTTATATATTATTATTATTAGGTGGCACTACAACCCGATTCGGGTTTTGGCCGACCTCAGCGTCTCCCTCCAGGCGCCTCTGCTCCTCGCGCGCCTCCTCCAATCGGAAATTCCCAGTGCAGTCAGGCTCTCCTCCACTTGGTCCTTCCATCGGAGCTTTGGTCGTCCCCTTCGTCGTCGCCCGTAGTCGTCGACCCTCGCTTCAAACACCTTCTGAGCTGGAGATTCTTTATCCATACGCACAACGTGGCCGAGCCAGCGCAGACGTTGTATCGTGATGCGCCGGACCACGTCCACGTCGTCGTACAACTCGTACAGCTCGTGGTTCATCCGAATGCGAAAGTCGTCCCCAATCCGAACGGGACCAAATTTCTTGCGAAGAATTTTTATATATTTTATATATTAGATAACGGAAATAAAATGATAACATCGTTGTTTTTCATAAGACAATCATGATTTTTGGAAGAAAGAGTTTTCTAATGACTGTTGATTTTCAAATTGAATTTCATCAAATCGGACGACTAAATTATGTAGCTGCCATATGAATAATAGTCGAAAATATGGAAAATATGGCTTATAGTGAAAAAAGCCTCCAATTCCACCGTGTTTTGAACCGGTTTGGCTCATTATGAGGCTAACAAGGTGTCTAAAGCCACCATTTGGCGGACTTTACACACTTGCCAAAACTTGGTGCCATCAAAAATGGCAAGTTCTCCAAGAATCACAGAGATCCATCGTCAGGCGCGGCACACTTTTGCAGAAGAAAATTTTGAAACGAATTGGCGCTCAGTAAGCTATTCTTAAAGGCGCCTGCTAGCTTTATTTTAATATTTTTTAGTGTATAGATTATATTTGGATGGCCCTGATGGGCTCAATTAAAGTTTTTTTTTAATCGGAAAATATAATCCAAACATTGCACAGCAGTGAAGGGGATACCTCAGAAAACATGAAGTATATATATTCTTGATCAGCATCACGATCTGAATCAAAATAAGTCTGTACGTCTGTCCGTTTATACGCAAACGTGTCTCTCAGTTTTAAAGGTATCTTGCTGAAACTTACCCAAAAGGTGTGTAGTTATTGCACGCAGCATATAAGTCGGAACTGGCCGGATCGGCCGACTATATCGGATAGCTCCGAGAGAATGAAATAAAAAACTCTCACGACATTGTATATGTAGGGGAGACCGGGGGGTTTTGAGACGGGTTTTGTTTTTTGGCAAAAAATATAATAGAAAAGCCATTTTTCTGCCCGTACAAATTTTTTAATCATAGTTCAGTGTAATTTCACTCAGACAAGAGTATAATTAGTTGAAATTTTAGTTCGACCTTCAAGTTTTGCAAGCCTGCTCAAAAGTTGTTTTTTATGGATTTTCGCAATGTTCGGGGGGTTGTGAGACACAAATTTATAAGAATGAAAATGGCTTAATTTTATCAACATTTTTTATTTTAATCTTTAATAATTATATATATACATATATATTATATATATTATATGATCTACCAACGGACCGTAGCGGCTTTTTCTCGATAGCAACCTCTTTTATAGCAGCCACAAAAACATTGTCATCAATCGCAGATTTGGCAGTCTGACTATACTTATGACGCACCATGATGACTAAAGAAAGAAAAAACGATCATCAAAAACACTGAATCCATCAAAAATATCAAAATTATCATTAAACGTTTTGGTTGTGTACAGAAACACTATATCAGGCTATAAAATACAATTTTATGTTCCTAGATGACGCGGTAATAGAATGTCTCATAACCCCCCGAGAACGTTGTCTCACGACCCCCCAATAGCTATATTTTAAATATGGCTTCTGCTTAACGGACGCATTAAATGTTTATGCAAAATTTGTTCCGGGTGTCAAAAGGCTACTCACCAAGGAATGTTTCGGATGTATGCACTCTCGCAAATAGCTTGTAAAACAAAGCGAAAAGACAGCAAAAACGAACGGTCTACAAAACTTTCGATCACAAAATTGGAGTTGCCATTTGGGAAGACATAAAGAATCGGCATGAGCGGAATATTTGTGATGTGGAAATGAAGATTGAAAACAAGCAAGAAGTTTCACAGTCAGCTGGTAGATGTCGCGCTTTTTAGTTCAGGGCTGTAAGCGCGTCTCACGACCCCCGTGTCTCACGACCCCCCGGTCTCCCCTATATAAATAATGAAAATAAAATTAAAACATCGGATGGAGTTTTTTAATAATCTTTGAATCGAGAAATTTTTTTTATTAAAATCCGACAACGTTATCATATAGCTGCCATAGGAAAGATAGAAAAATCTATATAGAAATAACAGAAATAAAATTATGACATCGTTGTTTTTCATCAGACGAGCATGATTTTTGAATTGATTGAATTTAGCGGGTTCTAACGACTCTTGAATTACATATAAAATTTCATCAAAATTGGACAATTATTGCTGCCATATATGCAATAGTCGAAAATATGATAACGTTGTCGGATTTTAATAAAAAAATTTTCTCGATTCAAAACTCCATCCGATGTTTTAATTTTATTTTCATTATTTATATACATATACAATGTCGTGAGAGTTTTTTATTTCATTCTCTCGGAGCTATCCGATATAGTCGGCCGATCCGGCCAGTTCCGACTTATATGCTGCGTGCAATAACTACACACCTTTTGGGTAAGTTTCAGCAAGATACCTTTAAAACTGAGGGACACGTTTGCGTATAAACGGACAGACGTACAGACTTATTTTGATTCAGATCGTGATGCTGATCAAGAATATATATACTTCATGTTTTCTGAGGTGTTCCCTTCACTGCGTTGAAAACTATGCTCTGCAAGGGTCTATTAATATTTTTTAATGTTTGGATTATATTTTCCGATTAAAAAAAAACTTTAATTGAGCCCATCAGGGCCATCCAAATATAATCTTTACACTAAAAAATATGAAAATAAAGCTAGCAGGCGCCTTTAAGAATAGCTTACTGAGCGCCAATTCGTTTCAAAATTTTCTTCTGCAAAATTGTGCCGCGCCTGACGATGGATCTCTGTGATTCTTGGAGAACTTGCCATTTTTGATGGCACCAAGTTTTGGCAAGTGTGTAAAGTCCGCCAAATGGTGGCTTTAGACACCTTGTTAGCCTCATAATGAGCCAAACCGGTTCAAAACACGGTGGAATTGGAGGCTTTTTTCACTATAAGCCGCTTATCTCGAACGTTTAACTTTGTTTTTTGGAGCCCTTTATAATTTTTTTTTTTTTTAGATTTCATTATCTGCCAATAATCGCGATTTTTTTTATTTTCGTGGCGGTTTGGCTCACATTAAGGGGTTATATACCTTTTTTGTCGAAGAAAAAGAGGAAAGTTCGGATTTTTTTTTAGGTATGTAGCAATTATTTAATTACACGGGTGTTTTAATTTTTTGATAGTACACTTTATTAACTATGTTTGTGCAAAATTTCGTGGAAAAATATCAATTAGTTTTTAAGGGGTGGCTGTTTCCCTTAGAGGCCTTTTTTTTTTAGAGCCTTGCGGTGATAACGCTCCTGGTCGAACCGGTCAAATGAAACCATAAAAGTAAAAAAATTTCATTAGTTTAGAGTAATATCTTGTGCTTGAACGAACGATTTAAAATTTTTTTATTTTTTTATGCATACGGGAACGTTTTATGATAAAAATGAGCTTTTTGGTCTCTAGAAATTTCACTAAAAAATTCATTTCGGCGAAAAAAAAATTTTTGCGTGAAAAGTCGATCGTTCAAGCACAAGACAATTTCATTACGAACATTTAAAAAAAATTTGAAGTAAATCGGCTTAGTAGTTTTTCGCCAATCGTTATCACCGCAAAGTCATTTTTCAAGAAACACCATTTCGAGATATTCGCGTTTAAAGTTTCAAGTTCAGTTTCGGGCCGCTACGAGGCGCGCGGTTAAGAGCGCTGTAACTTTTTTTCTACTGCTCGAATCTCTATGAAAATTTGGGAAAATGTTCTCAAGGAGTTGTTCTTTAAGATAAAGCAATAAAAAATTTTTCGATTTTTAGAAAATAAAAAAGGTATATAACCCCTTAAGGCCTGAGTCCAAAAAAGCATCAATTTTCCCCCATCCATTTTCCCATCGTTATCCTGGAGTGCTGATTCAAGGCCTATTTTAGTTTCATTTGATCAATAATAGCACAAGATTAAAAAAAACGTTTTAAACAAATTGCGCACTGAACACAAGTGATTACTGACAACTGTCCTATCCAAATGAATCCATGGAATATCCATTTGCACTGCATGCAAAAAACCATGCAGCAGTGCCAAAACTCAAATAATAAAATGGGGAAAGCAAAAATTAACAAATTTAACTGCATTTTAGAATCACAATATAACAGAGATTATAACTTTAAAAAAAGTTTAGCTTTCAACGATTTTTGTCTTCGCCACGAGCGATCAACCATAAAAGTTGCTAGGTGTCCTATCCAAATGAAACGAACTGTATATAGAACATGTAAAAAAAAATTTGATAGTGATCGGATCATTAGTTATTGAGTAATCACTGCAGCAAATTCGGAAAATGCTGTTTCGAGAAAAACGCGTTTAAAAATAAAATGATCGTGTGCACTTTTGTGAGAGCGGCTGCTCTTTAAATTGTTATAACTCAAAAACTATTTGAGATATCGATTTTAAATATTAATATGTTATTTTTAAAGGTGTAATCTACCGAAATTCTTAAAACCCTTATTATGTTAATACTTAAATTTAAAAAGCCACCTTATGGAGACTTCTAAAGCCAAAACTCTTTTAAAGTGAGAAAAATCTTTTCAATATAAGGAAAAGAAAATAAACATGTTTTATATTTCTATATTTTTCAGAAGACGTAGATGAGAATATTGAGTGCATTTCACCAAAACTTCTTAATACAATGAGTACGGACGTTGCCAAGTTAAAAGCTAAGAACGCTTTAGACTCCATACCTAAAAATAAGTTAACTCTTCTTATTAATTACGCAATGCGCAACGTTTACTTAGCAAGGAATTATTTTGCTGGACCGGTAAATATATGTTTTCTTCTATTATAAACGGTGATATTTATAGTTCTTCTCAATTGGCGTAAAAAATTAAACAAACTTAGTTACTGCTTATGGCTGTAAATAGTTCTTTAGTATTATGACAACAATTTTCTGCTAAAAATCTTTCTTAAGATATTCTTATACAAACTGATTTAACTTAATTACAAATAGCTGAGATCAGTAAACTGTGAAAATGGTGTTAAGCACAAATCTACTTAATTAGTGCTTTTTGACATAATTGATTGTTGACTGTTTGTGATTGATTGATGTGCAATCAATGCTTACTAGCGCTTTTTGTCGGACGTAAAGAGTTTTGGGTTCTGCTATTTCTCGGGACCGTCCTCAGTTCGTCCTTAATTTTCGAAAAGGTATACTTCAAGAATACTTTCCTTTTTATACCCTTGCAGAGCAAAAGGGTATTATAATTTCAGTCAGAAGTTTGCAACGCAGTGAAGGAGACACCTCAGACCCGACCCCATAAAGTATATATATTCTCGAAATATGTATGTACGTCTGTCCGTCTGTCAATCTGTCCGTCTGTCTGTTTCCGCGCAAACTAGTTTCTCAGTTTTAAAGCTATCTTGCTGAAACTTTCCCAAAAGGGAAAGAGTGGCCAAATAGCCACTAATTTAGAAAATATCAACAAAATATGTTTTTGCATTCCAATTTAAATTATTTGTAAGTTATTGTTAATTTAGAAATTAATAAAATAAAAGCCAGAAATATAAAGCCTTTTCGGACTCGAAGAAAATTCACTGCATTTAGTTTGTTTTTATTTCCTTTTATTTACATTTGCAACTTTAATCATTCGAATGAAACGTCTCTGTTTTCAACGTTCTCAATTCACTCAATTCGTTTCCTTCTACCTGCTCTTTGTGCAAATGAGTAAGCGTAAGTGAGCCAATCCTCTCACACCATGTTGGCTTTGCTCTCAAATTCACTCAACTCATTTTGAGCATTGTGCATTTGAATGTGTGTTTTTTGCCACTCATGCAGATGTCTATTATACGAGGTGTGTTCAAAAAGTATAGCGAATTTTGAATTTTCGTGGGTTACCTCGTATCGAATTTCGATTTTTTTTTTTTGTGGCGTTATGTTGGTACTCATGTCTCTTACTTATGCCGACAAGCTCGACCGTTTTGAATATTCACTTAATTGTTGACAGCTAAGCAGCAAAGCTGCTTGCACGTGTTTTGGATCGTCTTCGATTTTAACCTATTCAAAAAAAGGATCGAAGAACCTGTATCAAATTTTGTGTGAAAAACGAAATTAAGTGCGTGGATGCATTCCGAATGTTGACTGTGGCATACGGAGAAGCTACCTCGGACCGAAGCAACGTTTATCGGTGGTACAAAATGTTCTCAGAAGGCCGAGAAGATGTGAACGACTAAGAGCGTGCCGGACGCCTGAGCACTTCAACAACAGACGAATGTGAAAGTTTTGCTGACAGTTTTCTTCGATTGCAGGGGCGTGGTGCATCATGAGTTCTTGCCACAGGGAAGAACGGTCAATAAGGAATAATATAAGCAATCCGCCAGAAACGCCCGGATTTGTGGAAGAACAAAAATTGGCTTTTGCACCACAATAACGCCCCTGCTCACACATCGTTGCTTGTGCGCGACTTTTTGGCCAAAAACAACACACTAATGATGTCCCAGCCACCGTATTCCCCAGATCTGGCCCCCTGTGACTTTTCCTTGTTTCCTAAACTGAAGAGGCCCATGAAAGAGATAAAGACGGCATCGAAGGAGGAGCTGAACAGGTTAAACAAAAATGATTTTTTTGAAGTGCTTCGAAGATTGGAAAAACCGTTGGCACAAGTGCATAATATCTCATGGGGATTACTTTAAAGGGGAAAAAATAGATATTCATGAAAAAATAAATAATTTTTGAACAAACACAAAATTCGCGATACTTTTTGAACACACTTCGTAAACCCTTGCAGTCATCAAATATTTCGAACAGAATACACAAAGGCTAAACAACATCAAAGCTACGACGACTTTTCTATTAGTTTTCCATATTTTTGACTATTGTTCATATGGCAGCTAAATGATATAGTCGTCCGATTTTGCTGAAATTTTATTTGTTATTCAAGAGTCGTTAAAAAACTCTATATTCCAAAAATCATTTTCTGATGAGAAATAACGATGTTATCATTTTTATACCCTTGCAGAGCAAAAGGGTATTATAATTTCAGTCAGAAGTTTGCAACGTTTGCAAATATATATTCTTGATCAGCATCACCATCGGAGTCGAATACATATTTCGACTCAGATGGTGATGCTGATACGTCTGTCCGTCTGTCCGTCTGGCCGTCTGTCTGTTTCTCTTTAAACTAGTCTCTCAGTTTTAAAGCTATCTTGGTGAAACTTTCCCAAAAGGTGTGTAGTTATTGCACGCAGTATATAAGTCGGAACGAGCCGGATCGGTCGACTATATCGGATAGCTCCAATACGAGAGAATGAAATAAAAAATGCTCACGCCGTTGTTTTTGATCAGATCGACTTGAATTCTTCCAGATGGCGTTTTCTAACTACTATTGAATTTCGGATTAAATTTTATCAAAATCGGATAACTCTATCGTATAGTTGCCATAGGAGAGATCGAAAATTATATATAGAATTAATGGAAATAAATTGATAACATCGTTGTTTTTTATCCCACGAGCATGATTTTTTGAATATAAAGTTTTTTAAGAACGTTTATATTAAGAAAAAAGTTTCATAAAAATCGGACAACTATATTTATAGTTCCTATGTCCTATGTCATAGGAAAGATCGAAAAATCTATATAGAAATAACGGAAATAAAATTATAACATCGTGGTTTTTCATCAGACAAGTATGATTTTTGAAATATAGAGTTTTCTTACGACTCTTATATTACGAATTAAATTTGATCAAAATCGGACAACTATATCATATAGCTCCCATATGATCTATAGTCGGAAATATGGAAAATTAATAGAAAAATCGTTATAGCTTCGATGTTGTTTAGCCTTTATGCATTTTGTTCGACATATTTGATGACTGCAAGGGTATATAAGCTTCGGCTTGCCGAAGCTAGCTTCCTTTCTTGTTTTCCATTAACTCTATATAGATTTTTCGATCTTTCCTATGGCAGCTATATTGGTGTCCGATTTTTATGATTTTTTTTTTTTTATAAATCAAGGCAACTCTGCTTCCCTTCTGTCCGCTTCTCTTGGCACGTGCCATGCCATATTTCATCTTCCAATTGTCCATTCCTTTTTTGATTTCTCTCTCTCACAGAGACAATCAACACCCGCGCCACACTCGGCTGAAACGACACTCCATCTCGTTCTCAATCCTCGCTCTCAGCAATTATGCAAGTAAAAGGAACCGAAAATAACTCTTTACAGTTTAATTTAGGTACATTTGGCTTATTCTCATACATCTTCTGACTTTCACATGTCCTCGTGTGCGTACTGTAACACTAGATTGGTACCATTTATGCTTTATTACTCTTTTCATCTTTCAATATCACTCTTCTCAAAACAAATAGTCTGCACACACAACTTTATAAATTGCGTCATCAAATGTCGGTTTCGCAGGCTATTTTGCTCTCTTACATCATACAGCGTGTCATTTCAAACTTGCCACACCAGTCAACCGCGCCACACGCCATGACAAAACACTCCTTGTTTTACACTTGTGCTTTCGGCTTGACCTGATATAACTCTCTCTCACTAGCTCGTACTCTTCTGCGCAAACCCGCCCATTTGGCTATCCACGTTATCAAACCACAGTTACGGGCTCTTACCGTCTCACGTGACGCTTTGCACCTTTAGCGCCACGATCTACTCAGATCCAAACTGCACCACACAATATCATCCATACCAGGCATGACTGTTGTTGATCAGATCTAGCCCCTGTGTTTGATGTCTCACGACGAGTGTATTTTTCACCACCGTCACTTTTCTCAATAGTCTCATCAGCGATCGGCTCGTCCGGCAGTCTTCTCAAACTCTCGTGTGAGTACTTATACGTACGCTTGCTACTCAACGATTTCAACAGGTTTCCATCACCTTCCAACAACTCGACAATCACAAAAGGTCCTTTGAACTTAGGATCCAATTTGGTCTAATGCCGCTCTTCACTTCTAAGCAAGTCATGATCCCCAACCTTTTGTTTTACAATTTTGGCCTTATTCTTATCAACTCGATTCATTTCATATTTCGCATTAATTTCAATATTTTCTTTGGCCTGAGCCCTCGCTTGCTTACAATCTATTTTAGTTTCTTTATTTATTGGCAATATTCCCATTGGCCTGGCCTCTCTTCCAATCAATAATTCCAATGGGCTATACTTTGCACCCTGTTTGTCGTAAAATTCTTGGCTAACTGAACCTCGCTAAGTGCATCCTGCCAGGAACGGTCACCTATCTCTACCGCTGTCAACATACTTTTCATCGTGCTCATGACCCTTTCTACTTGTCTATTCGCCCTACTTGCACCTGTAGCTATTAAATGTAATTCTATTTTGTGCATTGAAAAGAACTCACGAAATTTTTCACAAGCAAAACTCCTACCTTGATCTGCTATGATACGGTTAGGTACCCCAAACAGTGATATTGTTGACTTTACAGTCTTAATACAGTACAAAGTATGATATAAGTGAACAAATTTAGTAAATGCGTCTATTTGTACTATGACATATTCCATGGTGTCATTTTTACCGCTCAGCTTTCCACTGATATCAATATGCACAGCGTGCCAAGGTATTTGAACTTTCGGAATTGGATGCAACTTCATTTGATTTTTCCTGCTGAAGGCTTTGTTAAGTTGCATGTTATGCAGTTTTCTACGAATTTTCGTACATACTGTGCTCGAACCTTGTCTAACCTTTTCTGCCTCCCCAAATGCATGTTTGCTTCATGGACATGATTTACTACAGACCACTTAAAGACTCTTGGGATTACAGGTAAACAGCGTGTCTTTTCTCTCAATTTTCCGATATAGAA